ATTATATTCAGGTATATGTTTTACCTTTTGCTGTTTCTTTGCCTGCTTTGCATTAGCTGGGTCAACCATCTGATTCCAAAACTGAATTAGACAAAAAAACCCCAGCCAGAGCTAAATCCACATTTCACCTCAATTTGTATGCATAGAATCATTTTACAACACTACAGTTACATTAAGAGGAGAATCTAGTCCTAATTTCAAAGTAAATTCTAAAATAATCTCTCTTAAACCATGTCCTCCTAGATTTAATAAGTTAATTTTATTTCCTGTTTGCATTTTTTAAGGGCTAGTATCTCATTTAAACATAACAAACTGAATTTGGAAATATTCCATAATATTGATTATTGAATAGGAGCACGTTCTGTGCTTTAGCAAATTTGTAGAAAGTTGCTTTAAAGTGTGGATTAATTGAAGTTCCCCCTCAGCCCAATATGGTCCTGAGTCCTTGGGCCAAGGAAATCAGACACTGGATTTTTTCAGCTGTGCTTTGTGCAGGATGTTTGTGAACATCCCACTGACTTTGCAGACCTGCAATACAGAACTGGCCCTGGCTATAAAAGAGCCACAGGGAGGCTGATGCTGATGAGAGCAGAATAAACTCAGACCTTGAGACCACAGGTTGTGGTGCTGCTGTGATAGAAGATTCTTTCATATGAATGGTGTGTGTGCAGTGATGGAAAAGCTGTGGAATAGCACTTTTGACTCTCTCTCATTGGGATAAATCACTCCATAAATGTCACCCCTTCCTTGGGAGTCCTTTTATTCATCTGTTACCTTTTCAAACTCCTGTGTTTGCTTCATTGTGTCTGACTTGTGCTGCTGCACTGGGTGCTGGGTGTCCCTATTGACCCAGACCACAGCAATTCCCTCATCTCCCACAGGGATAACCAGCCCTTGGGGGGCACAGCAGCGCTTCCCCTGTGTCCTCGAGGTGCATTTACCAGGACACAGCTGCCAACAGGGTGCCATGCACGACCACAGCAGGAACATTTCCTCACTGCAGGAGTAGTTAAGCACTGGAACAGGCTCCCCAGGGAAGTAATGGAGTCACCATCCCTGGAAGGGTTCAAAAACAAGCAGATGTGGCACTTCATGATATGGTTTAGTAGGCATGGGGGTATTCGGTTGAAAGTTGGACTTGGTGATCTTGGAGGTATTTTCCAACCTTAAGGATTCTAGGGTTTGATGATTCTATTTGCAGAGCCTGCAGGAATTAGCCTTCACTTCAGGAAGGAATTGAGGTTTCAGTGTGGGAGTGACAATAGAAGGAAAACCCTTGGTGCTGCTCTGAGCAGTCTCCTTTGAGGAGAGAATCCCTCCCTGTCACAGCACCCTGTGCACACCAGTGTGATTGTGCTTGTGCACCCAGCCTCATCCCTTACAGAGCCACATTCATTTTTACTGGTGACAGCTCATCTCCAGCCACATTTCCAAAGGTGAAAAAGTGAGGAAGTTAGCATGTTTGCCAGGGAATGTGGGCACGTACCTGAAATATGGCAGTTTCCTTCAATGTAGCTTCTCCCAGGAGAACAGGGGCTTCAGCCTCATCCCTCATGGCATTGACATCCCCACATGCAGCTAAGGGGAGCATTTGTACCTCCCTGACATCACCTCTCTCAGGTTGCTTTCCTTATTGATGGTCTGGTTAAAGTCTCTGTATCATTTTGACATTTTTAATGGCATCTGCATTTACAGCAGAGCGCTCGTGTGAGCTTTAATCAGCTCTCTGTTCACACGTTGTTGCTGTTATTATTTATCTCTATTACAGTAACTCACTAAGGCAATCAACAAGAGCAGGATCAGACTGTGCTAGGCTGGGGCTGGGGTTTAAAATGGTCTCTCCAATGGGAGACCTTGCTGATGGTCCCAAAGTGCAGCAGGATCCTGTGGTCTGAGCCTGCTCTACTCTCTGTCTCTGTCCCAGAACCTGGAGTCACTGTCATACACCAGCCAGGATTTGCCCCACTGGTGTATAGAGGAAAAAATACCTTTTGGTTGCTGAAGTCTTTTGTTTCTTCTGTTTTGTAATTCTCTACCAGGAGCTACTGGATCCCAGTCCTGTAGCCAGTTACACACTCAATTAGTCTCACACCTGAATGAGCCTGCTGTGCTAGTGGAGTTAATTGTATGAATAAGTACTTGGATTTTAGCTTATCATCCCTGTATCTACCTTGGTAAAGGTACAGAAGTGCCCACAGTGCAGATCTCAGAGTTATCATTATATCATTATATAAATATCACATCATGTTCCAATGAAATGACTCCACAGTCATTGGAGTCATTGGAGTCACTGCAATATGGGACTTAGAGGAAAGAGGAAAGAAAACCAACAAAAAAACCCACCAAGACAAGGAAGCAAACATGACCAAATATATGGGATTTAAGAGAAAGAGGAAAAAAACCCAAAAAAAAAAAAAAAAAAACAAGACAAGGAAGCAAACATGACCAAACACTGCTTGTAAATAAGTGTTCAAACAGGATGGACTTACAGAAAAGGAGCTGTGTTTGGGGCAGGCACTGTACAGTTGAAGCAAGATGCTTGAACTAATGATGGGAAATGGTTTTCCCTTCCTACAAATAATTTTCTTTTTCCTTCACTTCCCTTCAAAGTGAAAAACACAAACCCAGCAGACAAATCGGATGCTTGGAGCACCCACCTGAGACATGAAAGAGCAAGGATAGAATCGTATCTTGTAATGAGTGTTATTTATTCATATTAGGGAAATTAATTGCAACTGGAGCTGCATCAGCTCAGAAGAAGCCAGAGTCTGCAGCTGGGGCTCTGATGTGAGGTGTGGGAAGGCAGGAATCAATCCCCAGAGCACGCAGGGTGCAGTTTGATCCCTGAACTCCACTTTCCTGTGCTGAGGGACATCAGCTGTGCTTGCGTGGTTCAGGTTTGTGTTCTTTATGGAGGTGCAGAACTGCATCCCTTGATGTTCAAGTTGTGCAGAAAACAAATCAGTGTTTCTGGAATGGAAATTGCTGGGGAACTCCAGCAGCTCCAGCAGCTTTGCTCCCTGCCCCAGAAGGCTCACACAGCCTTAGCAAGTGTCTCTGTGAAATAAAGATAGATCATCTCTTCCCACAGATTCTCAGTAATAATTTAAGTCCTATAAAGAGTAAGATTTTGTTTGCTTGGCTCCCAGTGGTGTTAGAGAGGAGCTATCATCCCTGTTTACAGCCGGGGGGAAGTGAGGCAAAGCAATAAACGGGCTGGGGTGAGGCACGAGTGGGATCGTGCACAGGGGGACATGGTGTGCTCTGCTCCCTGCAGGACATTAAACATCTGCATCCTCTAACACCCTGCAGATCTTTTGGAGACCTTGGAATTGTCTTCTGGGGGTTTATTTTGGCTTTTAACAACACAAATTTGTAAACTGATAATCAGCAGGGCAAATTAACTAAGAGCTGTCTTCTTTTTCTGCTGGATAGCCTCACACTGACCAGTGAGTATCCTCCTTCTCAAAATGAAGGATAATAAATAAAAATATTGCCAAAATTAATGGATAGAGGCAGTTTTCCAGTGTGAGTTTATAGCCAAGTACTGTAGAAGGAGAGGGCTATGAAATTTCTAGGACAAAAGCACCAGGCTTAAGTGAGCTTTACATTTACCTTGCTAATCCTGGAAACAGATCCAGGGCTGAGAGGCAGCCTGTGTCACCTGGGATTAGTTTCCATGTTTGCAAATAAAGGAGTTTGTGAAGACAGCCCTGTTGCTGGGATTCCACTCTCCTCTCCTGCCTGGCAGTGGGATTTACACCACTCGCAGGAGGGTTGGTGGTGAAATTGAAACCAGCTCTGAGCACAGCCAGCTGTGCCTGGAAAGCCATCAGTAACTGTGTCCTTCCCAGTAGCCTGTTCTGAATAGGATGAGGATTTTCTTCACCCTTGCCACAGCTGTGGTGAAAGGCTGCTAAGTGGAGGGTAGGGCTGCTGAAGAAATCCTTGTTTTCCTGCAGACGTTTTGCTGAGGAAACCTTGACCTCAGGTGTTTGCTTGAGCTCCGTTCAGTGCATGCAGCTCAAAGAGGTGTTGTGCAGGTGCTGTTTCAAGAGCAAATCAGGAGAAACTGTTCCTGTAGGGCTGACTTCCCCCTCCCATCTTCCACATGCTCTTCAAAAGAGAAGGGATCAGGCAGGATTGTCACATGAGGGGTCTCCTGTGCCTTAATGCATTCCATAGGGAACCTCCTCTCCATGTCAGTGGCCAGAGGCTTTGGGGTCCTTCTGTGTTGCTGTTATTAGCACAGGAGTTACCTGATATATTCACTCCATACCTTCATCCCTGAGCCTGGGCAGCCTCAGGACGTCCTGTCTCCAGTGCTATTTTATTTCCTTACATCTATTTAGTCAAGACAACAAAAGTAAGTAAATAAATAAATCAGAAAACAACACCAAGGAGAAAGCTTTCTTTAGATTATCTTGTATGTTATCTTACGGGAACATAACAAAGAAACAATATTTGATGACATGATAAATCGACAGGATTTGCTTGGCAACACCACCTGCCATTAAGTGCACTGCAGGCAGGATGTGACCCTCTGCATCTAGTTCCACTATAAATTCATCCCTTCCAGCAATCTAAAAGCACTAAGAAACAGGATATTAAAAGATTTCAGGCCTGATCCAATAAGGTGTTAAGTCCTCAACTTTCGGTGTAAAAGTGGTCCCATTGTGTCCTTGCACCCTAAAGCTGGGTTGGGGGGGAAGATCCTGAATCTGGGTCTGGGAGAAGATGCTGAAGCTGGGTTTGGGTGGGGGAGAAGATGCTGAAGCTGGGTCTGGGGGGGATGCTGAAGCTGGATCTGGGGGGGAGGCTGAAGCTGGGTCTGGGGGGGGATGCTGAAGCTGGGGCGGGGGCGGGCAGGTGTTAAAGCCGGGTCGGGGGGCAGTTTGGGATCGGGGGCTCCTTTGGAAGGCTCTGGCCGAGGTGCACACGGGGCTGTGGGGTGAGGCAGCCCCGTGTGCCCGCGTGGGTAACTCCGTGTCCATTCGCAGGCTGTGACAGCGAGCACTGGGGGCCCCACTGCAGCAACCGCTGCCAGTGCCAGAACGAAGCGCTCTGCAACCCCATCACGGGCGCCTGCGTGTGCGCCGACGGCTTCCGCGGCTGGCGCTGCGAGGAGCTCTGCGAGCCGGGCACCTACGGCAAGGGCTGCCACTTCCAGTGCCAGTGCCACCACGGGGCCACCTGCGACCACCAGACCGGCGAGTGCCACTGCGCGCCCGGGTACACCGGCGTGTTGTAAGTGCAGCAGGAGCGCGCTGGGACTGCCTTCAACTGGTTTGGGTCGGCCGCGTTTAACAGGAGGAATAATTGGCTGAGTTTACACCCTGTTATACGCCGGCCTTTGTAGAAATCAGGGAATGGGATTTCAGAGAGATTGAATAAAGGGAATTTCTGTTCTTGCTGCTGGTTATACCTGTGTCCCTGAAGGGAGCCTTCAAGAGAGCTGGAGAGGGACTTAGGACAAGGTTGTGTAGCGGTAGAACAAAGGGTGATGGCTTTAAATAGGGATAAATGGGATATTGGAAAGGAATTCTTCCCTGTGAGGGTGGGGAGGCCCTGACACAGGGTGCCCAGAGAAGCTGTGGCTGCCCCTGGATTCCTGGAAGTGTCCAAAGCCAGGTTGGATGGGATTCAGAGCACCCTGGGATAGAGGAAAGTGTCCCTGCCCATGGCAGGGAGCTGGATGTGGCTTCAATGTCTCTTCCAACCCAAACCATTCTGGAGTTCTATGATGCCATGCTATTAAAATAAAACATAGTGCTAAAATAAGCTTAAAAATAATTTATATGTTCTAACTTGTGCAACAACTCTACCTGTTCCTAATTTCAGAATGTGAATACAATCCAAATTACGGTGGAGTTTTGATAAGCACTTGGACTCTCTCCTCATTAGCAGTCCAGTGCAGCATCAAATGGGACTTTTCCATCCCCAATTTATTTGACTTTCAATCTAACTGAGAAAGCGTTGCTGTTAACTATATCAGCTTAGTATCTAGGGGGTAAATTTTAAGCACAGAGAGCAGGGATTTAGCGGTGTGACTCCTATTAACTTTAACGAGAATCATGTAGCTAAATCCCCATCCACCACACGGAAAGTTTACCAGTAGGATTCACAAAATCTGCATATTAATTTTAGGACAGCAAGCAATAGTTTCTTGTTTAAAATTGCCCACAGTGTAACATCAGTTCTCATTAGAGATCTTTCAGTAGCTTCAGAAGTAATTATGTTTTTCAGAATTATTTAAGGGGAAAAGAGAATTTAGTCACTGAATTTGGTTGGAGATCTATTGTAGGTGAGTTAATACTTTTTGCAGTCTATTATTATTTGTTGATCTGCATGAAGGGGAAGGTAAAAAATAAGGACAGAGTTAACCCTCATAAATAAGTAATAGGCCTTGTGAATATTTTATTTAGTACCTGATTTCCTCCTAGACTTGTGACCTCAGTTGTGGAAGCACTCACTGCTAAGGACTCTGCTTACTCTTGGGAGTGCTCTCCTTGACATCAGCGTGTCAGTTCTCAGCAGGGCCAGCCCCTGATGTAGGAACATCCTCATCAGAGGACAGTCAGCTGGGGGACAACATCCTGTAGTTTCAGAACCTCGATGCTGAAAGCTCTGATGTGCAGATGTAGGAGACACTGGGTTTTGCAGGGATTACTCCCACATTGCCCCCCACGAGTACTGAGGGAGCCTCAATGAGCTTAAATAGCCTTTAAATGATGTTGAGTCCTTGCCAGTCCATTATACACTGCAAATGTTAACATTCAGTAGTGACTGGAGGAATTTCAAGTGTTTTAATCCCATCCTTTTATTCTGTTTGCAGCTTCTTTTATTGCCATGTCATATAATTCATGTTGAAGGCTTCATCCTGCAACTCATCTTTTCCTGGGCTATTTTAATGGTTATGGGTTGTCCTGTTGAGATGGGTGGGATTTGGTACATGCAGAAAGGTTACACACATGCATCAGCCTTACAGGGCTGGATCCATGGCACATCAACACCCCAGCAGAAATAAAAGGAATCTCAGCTAATTGGCAGTGCCAGCTGAGCCTTACTGAGGTTTCATCATTTGCATGATGACTCCCATGATGACCTGTGTTGTGTGTTTTCCTCATTTGCTGTTCCCTGTAAGTCCGTTGAGCTGATGTCTCTGTTTCCTGTTGTTCTCTCTCCCCAAAGCTGCGAGGAGCTGTGTCCCCCCGGCAGCCACGGAGCGCAGTGCGAGCTGCGCTGCCCCTGCCAGAACGGGGGAGTTTGTCACCACATCACTGGGGAGTGCTCCTGTCCTGCTGGATGGATGGTGGGTACTGCTGCTCCTCACTCAGGGCCTGGATGTTCATTGTTCACTGTCTCAGCTGATGTGTGCCAGCCAGGCTCTAACAGTTCCCAAAGTGGAACCACATTTGCTGGGTGTGCACAGACAGATCTGCACAGACAGACCACCACTTTGGGACCTGCCACCTTCCCTGGAAGTGTTCCAGAAACATATGGGTGTGGCACCTGGGGACAGGAGTTAGTGGTGGGCTTGGCAGTGCAGGGGGGAATGGTTGGACCTGATCATCTTGGGGTCTTTTCCAGCCTCGGTGGTTCTGTGATTCTCTGACTGGTACATGCCATCACAGAATTTAAAAACAACAGACAAGAGAGTTATCTGTGAGTTCCAGTTCCTTGGAATATTCCCTGCAGCCTTAGACAGTGCCCTGACACAGGACAGAAAGCTCAAAGCCCAGCTCAGCACTGTCAGAGGCACAAAGTGTCCTGTTCCCCCTCAGGGAGAGTGGGAAGCCAGGGGGAATCCGAGGCTCAGGCAGGCAGCAGAGATGAGCCCAGGGCACAGTTCAGTGTCGTGTCCTTGCCCAGGCACCACTGCCATTGATTGCCAGAGATTTGCTTGTGTCAGGACTTGCACTGCAGAGAGACAGCTGCCCTAACCTTTAATCCTTTGTGTCAGGAAAGCAATGCCAAGCATTTTCAAAGTCCTCAACTTTATCAATAATGTAATAATGAACTCTCTTGGGGCATGCCAAGTCTCACAGGCCTTCATCCCATTTAGCTGTACTAAACTTCCTGGCACTTTTCCTGTATCTGACAATTAGTCTCTTGGCAAAGTTGCTGGATTTTAAAGCATGCAAGTACTCTGGACTTTTTATTTTTACATGGAAAGCCCTGTAGATCATCACACAACTGTGACTTCTAAAGGGGACCCTCTACCTGTTCAAACATACAAAAGCTGAGAGAGGTTTGTGTTCCTTTCCATTTATACATCAACTGCTTTGGGTTCAGAAGTACCACCTCTGAGATGCTGCTGTACATCAGCAACAATATTCTGTAGGAGAACATTGCTGTCCTTAATTTTTGGTGGAAAATATCTATAACTAGAGAGCTGGTATCTCTCTAACACCACCCATCATAGCAAGGGTGCTGATGAGGTTATTCCATTTCAAATGACAAAGGCAAAACTTGTCAGAAGTATGAATATGGCCCCTTGCCCTCACCTGGCAATCAGTGGTGGCAAAGAAAAGATTCTTTCCTTGAGTGCTGGAGCATTAGGAAAGCAATTCACATATTTCTGAGGGCCTATCAGTCCATTCTGGCACTAACTCCTAAGAAGTAATCAATAAAGTGATTCACATAAAAATATTACTTTTTTCAACTCTTCTCCTGCATGCCAAGATTTCTCAGGTGTTTTGCTGTATTCTTCCTTACTTGTATTTTATCAGGAGTTTTCCTTTTCAAAATTAAAACATCACAAAACAAATAAGAATATCAGAATAGAAGAGGAATTTTTAGATGTCTTTTAGGATGCAGCACAGACCTTAAGAAGAACCAGAGCACTGCACAGCAGCTGTGGTTGTATTCTGGCTCAGTCCTGCCCAATTCCTTACAGCCTGGAGTTCTTTTATGCATTTTTAGGAGCCCAGAGAGACTTTTCTGAAAACTGTGTTGTTGGCTGCTCTGTCCCTGGAGGAACCCTAGAGTTAACAATTGATGTTTCAAACAAGCATAACGGAAAACTGAAGAGAAAGATCAAGTATTCTGCAGAAAGAAACTGAAATTATAAGTAAAAGCACTCAGCTTGTAAATGTTGAGATTTTAAGTATAAAGAGTCTCTCCAGAGTTTTAATGAAAAGCTGGTAATTCAGTGTACAGAGAGGGATAACAAGTGTCTTTTCATGCTATATTTTTAACTCTTGGTGGTTGGAATGGTTTGGGAAGTGAGACATGAGGGGGCTGTAAAGGAGCAGGCGAGATGGGATTGCTAGACAGCATTCATTTTATTTCACACCACGGATTTCTGTGACACCAGGAATTTTACTTGCTGATTTTGAGGCTTGAGACTGCACATATATATATTGAATATACCATCATTTTGGAAGGAGAGAATTCTCCCTAGATTTATACAAGTGCAAATCCACTTGGACTTTATTGCTGCTGGATGAGCTGCAACTTTTATCCTTTCCTAGGTTGGCTTATTAACAGGAGCTCAGCTCCCTTGGGGTTTGGTGGGATGGAGAAGGGAAGGCAGTGACTTTAAAAGGAGGAAGTTCTGGGGTTCTGAGGTTCTTCCTTGGATCTGCCATCTTCAAAGCCTGGTTCTTTTATGGCTTGTAATTTCTTTCCTCCCACCAGTGCTGAATCTCTCAGCATCAGGAGTTCTTTGGATGGTGTCCTGTGGGACTTTACTGCCCCATGGGTTCTTCACCAGGAGGATGTTGGCCAACAGCATCTATTGTTGAACAGTCAACAGAACGTGGCTTCCAGCATCCCACAGTGTTGGGCTTTTTCCACTTCTGTGCCTTGGTGGCTGTGGAGTTTAGTGCGTGGCTGCTTTAGGGCCTCATTAACAATTTACAGGTTTAATTCTATACATCTTTCTCATTTGCAATATTAAATTCTCCAAGCGCTCTCAGGAAGTGGGGAGAGAAGTTAATTTAGCATTTACAATGCTTCTCAGAAGCCCTTTTGAAGGACTAGATCTCTGTGCTCAGGAAAGCAGCAATATTTCATGATGTGACAGAATGTTTGTCACTGGCAATGCCCCCTGTTTGGCCCCAGACCCCCTTCCCAAGGCACGGTGGTGCTGTGGTAATACAGCACATTCTGCTCATCACTTCTCTCCTATTGATTCTGGCCATTGTGAAGCATCATTTGTATTTTTGTCTATTTTTCTTTCTGTTGTAGATTTTAAACGTGGGGGTGTCTGAGAAAATGGAGGAGAAAAAAAATATTTTCTGTCCTACAAAACACAGCAAACAATGTCAAAAGCAGAAGCTGATGAGATCAGGGCTCAAAAAAGGTGCTGATGGGGTGAACATTGCTGATTAGATGTATAAGCAGCAGGAAATGTTGGTCTGACATTTGATCCTCTAGAGAGGGATGTTTTGAATTCCCTTAGTACATATTAATGCAAAAAGTACAGCTAAAGATTCTCTTGGCTCTGGGGGGATGCATCCCAGAGTATTGCTTTCTCATCATTTGTTGATAGAAATCCTGTTCCTTTTGAGACATGAAGGGAGAAAGTATTTATTATCAAGATAAATGGACACTTAGGTTTTCAGATATATAGTGTTGTGCATTACTCAAGTCCAGAGACACCAGTTTTTAACTCTGTAATCTGAAAGTTCTTGAACTGAGGCCAACCTGTCTGTTTTACAGCCAAGGAGCCACATAGCCCTGGTTGGGAAAGGCTCAAAGTATCTGTTTTATGGTGACATTGAAGAGCAGCCTCTTCACTTTGTGGCTGTTGATACAGCTAAACTTCCCAAGCCCTGAGGACTGAAAGCAGCCATTATATTCCTGGTTTATATTTTGAATAAGTTGTGTCTCATACATGCTTTGTTCAAAACCCAGAGGCCCCAGGGCTTGGTTAGGGAAACAGGGAAATTAAACCCAAATAATCCTGTGGCCAGACACTGTTTCTGTCTCACACTGGGCACTGTGGTGGCACTGGCAGCAGCACCACTTGCTGCAGATGCCAAACATTTTCCATTCTAGGACCACAACTTCAGAGCCCAGCACTGCCAGACTTGTTTTGGCTGAAGTTCCTCAGTTGGATGCCAGCCTCAGGCTTTATATTTGCTCGCAGGGAGAAAAACATTCATACAACTTCTAAGAAAGTCTGGGGAAATCCTTGTAAGGCCTTGGTACTTGGCAGGAACATTATGGGATACCTGGGGGAAACCACGTGAGACTGGCAGGTGTCTTTCTCCAAAGACACAACCCCACACAAGGGTGAGCATTCCCTGCCCTGGGGCTGAGCAGCTGGAGCAGGGATTACCTGGGAGCTGCTTTACTTGTGAGCAGTGCCAGGGGCACAGCAGGGACAGTCTGGCTTTGCTTCACTCCCAGAGCTGGTTAAGCAGGGAGGGGAAGGAGGAAACATCTCAGAGATGAGCATTTGGTTCTGGGTGGAGGAGAAGATTAAAAGGGAGGCTGCAGCAGGGATTTGGAATAGACTGGAATAAAGAGGTAGGAAAGCGGAGAACTGGGAGCATAAAATGGGATGTGGAGTTGAGGCAAGTCAGGGACTGAGGTGTGGCTCCAGGGTTGGGGATAAGGAGCTGGGAGGATGCTGGATGCTGCATCCTGCCACTGTTTAGGGATTAGGTAGATATTCCAGTGCAAAATTCCTGTGGCTTTCCCAAAACTCTGGCTGATCCATTCTGTGCTGCTTTGAGAGATGGATGTGTGGCTGGAGAGAGCAGAGGGAGCAGAGTGAAGGGTGTGAAGGGCAGTAGAGGAGTCTCCAGCCTCCAGCTGAGTTGGATGAATGAGACTGGCTGAACAGGAGAGATCATCACAGACCATCAAAACCAGCACAGCTACACCCTCCCAGTGCAAACCTTCCAACAATCCCTTCCTTCCCAAACCTTCTCTGTGCAGCAGGTAGCCAACAGTTTTTCATACTCCCCATTTCACAAAAAAACCCAGGAGAACACAAGCAGCTTTGTAGACTTCTCTGGTTGCCTTCAACTTCTCCCACATCTTCATGTGGCTGTTCAAGGGGCAGTGCAAGCCCAGCTGCAGTTTGTGGGGGAGATCCAAGGAAGAGAATTATCCATGAGTGTGCAGTGGTGAGAAAAATCCCTTCTGGAGTCAGGCCAGGCAGGCATTTACTGTGGTAGCAGAGTTTTCAGACTGTCTTTAGCACATCTTATGCAGATAAAATATTGCTGCTACACTTACATCTAGTTTTAGCAAGAAGGACAATAAAATTCCAAGCTGCATAGATAAATTTATTGCATTATGAATGTTGACTGAAATATTGCTCTTTCTACAACCTTACCAGGGGCTGGTGTGTGCACAGCCTTGTCCTCCTGGAACCTTTGGAATTAACTGCAGCCAGGACTGTCCATGCCACAACGGAGGGCACTGTGACCCTGTGACAGGAAAGTGCCTGTGTACAGCTGGCTATATAGGAGACAGGTAAAAATCAACCCCCAAAGCCTTTCATTTTAACCATGGACTGTCAATATTTATGTCCCTTCTAGGACAATCTTCCTCCCTGAAAAATGTTGTTATGTTTCTATTGCTCCAATTAGGTTCATCCTTCTGAAGCACTTCAAGCAATATAAATGTGGCAATGTTATTACTTTTTATTGGCAATGCTCTCCATTTACAGGGGTTTTTAATATAACTTTTAAAATTTAATGGATTAAATTTAATTTAGATATTTACAGTGATAAATTTAATAGAGAGCATTACATGTTTACAAGATATGTAAATGAACTATCTTTATACAAATTAATATCCTCGAGAGTAAGCAATGCTGCAGTTTAATGTCTCCTTCATTCTTCTGTGCTGCTGTAGCACTGATCCATCTCAGCCACCAGCAAAAGGTGATAAATCCTCAAAATTTATAAACGAGAGCCTTCACCCATGAATCGATCAGAGCAGATGATAATATTGTTTTACCAAGGTGTCAGGGATTCAGCAAAATGACTACACAGCAAAGTCAATGAGGGATTGCAGCACGTGCTGGCTTAGCCTGCAGCTAATCCTGGCTTACAAAGGGTGGGAAGTGCAGTTAAAGCAGCTCTCAGGAGCACTTTGCATGGGGCCTGTGGCACCAGGGTTTGCAGGGATGCACGGCTCACCAGTGGATGTTGTGCTAAAGCACTTTCTCCTCTCTATTCCCTTTTTTAATAGCTCTATACTGACCTATGCTACAATTATATTTTTATGCAACAAAGCTCATTGGAATTTCTCATCTCTGCCCTCACTGAATAATCAGCAGGTCGAACATCCAACCCTCAGCCCTGTGGGTGGGTCAGAAGGCTGCTCCTTCCCATTACACATGGAGCTTCCCTGTTTCCATTTTATGGACAGTTATAATTGGAGGGGGCTCTGGAGTTTATGTCAGGATTTGCATGGGGTTGAATATGGAGGAAATACTAATTATTTCCTAGTAATTTAGAGGAGAAGACATCAGTGTGCCTCTTTTCCCCATTCTCCATCTGGAGACTGTTTCCAGACATGTGGTACCATATAATTCCTGTTTCTCTTTCTCTCTTTGTGGAGACTTTTCCACTGAAGGAGGCAGCTGTGCAGCCTGGGCCTTTGTAGTGAGGACCACACTTGAATCCCAAGCTGCTCCCAGTGCTGGCCGTGCTGGGGGTGCTGACAGAGCCTCTCTTGCTCTCCTCATTTGGTTGTTGCCCACCCTGATGGATTCCTGGCTGTAGATGGATCAATCCAATCAAGTGTTGGAGCTGTTGGGAGCTCCCAGCCAGCAGCCTGCATCCTGTTGAGGATGAGGAAAGGAGATGGGAATAGGATTTTACTGCTGATTGCCCTTGGAGAGGGCAACTCAGGGAAGACATGGCAGGAGCTCACAGGGGTTTTCCTTGAGCCAAGGGAGTGTGTACTCATGAGGTCTGTGCTTGGAGAAAAGTGAGAGGAATTCAGACTCCAAAGAGAGATGTAACTTGGGAAGGGAGAAAGTAAAAAAAAATAAGGCAGAATCAGTTGGGAGAAGTAGAAAAGAAGTGAGGGAAGGTCACATTCTGGACCTGCATCCAAGAAAAACCCTTGGGAATGGCTTGCCTTCCCCATCCCAGAGCAGGGAAGTAAAAGACACTGAGAGAAGAGGCAGGAGAGCAGAAATGCAGGTGTGTGAAAGGATGAATGAGAACAAGGTTGAAAAGGTAAACAGGCAGTTAGGAAAGCTCTGCTGCAGCAGGGTAAAACTGGATTAGCCTAGAAATTCCCAACTTTCCAACGGGTTCCTGGAAAGTTAGAACATGTTCATCTCTCAGCCTTTAATCCCCCTTCCATGAGGGAGGGGAAACCTCAGGTCTGTAGTAACCATCTGCAGTTGTGCAGCTCGCTTGGGCTGGGCAGCCCTGGTTTGTGCTGGTTGTACTGGTTTGTTCTGAGCACACAGCTGCCTCACCTGCCTGGGGACCCACTGATTTCAGTGAGGGATGAGGGCTTCAAAGAGTCTGAGTGGCTTTCCGTGGTTTTGTGTTCACACCACAGGGACAATGGGACAGACCAGGCAGCTCCAGTTTAGCTCAGAGTTTGTTTTACCCTCTGCATCTCCTGCAGCTGTTGCACTGTGACAGCAAAAAGGAGAGCAGGAGAATCTGCTGCACAACAAAACACTGCCTGCTTTAACGTTTTACAAGGCATTGAAAAAAATCTTAATAATGATAGATACTGTGAATAACAGCAATAAAGACATAAATACATTTTACCTACTACCATCTTAAAATTGTCAATAACTGCTATATAATGCTACAGTTCATCATCATGTGCAGAAGATAATAACACACAGTTAGATAAATATCTGTGGAGATGAAATGGTCATAAAGGTCTGCGTGAGTGTAATTGCCACACTTTTGTTCCCTACCTGTTTTCCAAGAGTGGCACTGCACTAAATCTCTGGGAAATTGGCAGCACTGTTAATAACTGCAGGATGCTTTGTGTTCACTGAAATGACTGGATCTGTCATGGAAATGTGTGTTTTACAAACTGGAAAGGAATAATAGCAGAGGCACAGTTAGAAACTGAGAATGGAGTCTTTCAGAATTGAGTGGCTCGCAGGAAAAGTGAACATGCTGGTTTAGCTTTGTTTTCCTATTGCCCTTAAATCAAAAGATTGAATCTTAACAGAATAAATCTCACATTTATTAGAACTGTATGGGCAGATTTACTCTCCTGTTGTTGTGTTTGTACACGTATCTCTTATCTCCAGGTTAGTGCATTTTGGATGGCTTTTCATATTTGTCTGTGCTACATAAACGTGATCACTGTTTCAAAATAAACAGGACAACCAAAAAAACTTCGCAGCATTATTCCTTAAAAAAAGAAAATTGTGGGGAAAAGTGTAGGAGCCTATACTAAGTTCATCTGTTAAGCATGCTGTCTTCTGTTTAATATTTTGTGAAATTGCTTCCATTAATTCTACAGGTGACAGCCATATTATCCTATCCCAACCCAAATAATTATGGTACATATTAAAGTTCAGTGGATATTATAATACGAATCTCCCCAGATAGGCAGAAAGCAATGTAAATTAAACAAGAAACATAACTAGGGCTTAGCAGCTCATTTTGTAATTTAATTGAACAATGTATCTGGTTGTTAATGGTGCTATGGACACATTAGATTGATATGTTGCAAAGGAAAGATGTTTAAGTAGAAAGCTAATTCCTGCTGTGATTATTCTCATGTTCCAGAGGAGTCATTATTAGTATTCTTTGTATAAAATTCATTAGCGGTAGCTGCTTGATCTCCAAATAAATAAGTTGGTTAAATTGTTAGTAGAAAAAGGCTAATTATGTAAATGGATTAGGTCGTCAATATTTCATTTCCAGATGCTTTTCTCCCTGCTAGGTAATGCTTCATCTTCCATAAATATAGAATGATACAGTGCACTATTGACTAAGAATTCACCCTGTGGAGCTCAGAGCTCTCCTGCTCACTCGGGGTCTGTGCAGCAGTGAGGACATGAGGAGCTTCATTGTTCCTCCTTGCATTTCATTTGCTGGGAGTGTTTCAGCCCCACTGTTCCCATTCTTTGCTGGCTCTTTCCTTTGCAGCTGAACCCCCTGAGAGCAGCAGGGCTCTCTCTCTCTCTGGTGCCTCTCCAGACTCTTTCCCTCTTTGTCCCAAGCTCCTCTCACTTTGGGTCTCATATGAACTCCTCAACTCGGATTTGCAGCCAGCAGCTGCGTCGGTGCCTGCTGGAATTAAATCACCAGCCAGGCCCTTTGCTGTGTTCATTTATTTTTAGTAAAACGTGATAATCTGAAGCTGCAAAAGTAATGCCCTTCTTATATACTGCCTGTGTTCATTGCAGTTTTGCCTGGCTTGCATCACACATTAATCTTTTATTACTGATCATTATATTAACTCTCACCTGCCAGCTGTGAAATGACCTGCAGAAAGACATTTAACAATTGCCTCCATCCACTGGGTTTACAGTATACACTTTAATCAATGCTCAGGCTTAAATTAATGCTGATAGGCAATTTCCAATGCCTGGCATCCATGTGATAAGGGAATTGGGCTTTTCTGGGCTTCTTTTTCTGTTTTTATTAACTGAAAAGGCCTATCTGTATTTCACGGTGGATCACGTAAACTGTGGTACTGACTCATTGCAGAATTCTGAAACCACTGAATTATGTCAAGCACACAATCAGTTGCTTTCTTCAGGAACTTAGCTGAGCTTTTCCAAGTAGGAAATAATCTGAACTCTTAAATTGATTGTGTAGGACAAGGGAACAGACTTTTTGGCAGATCTCAGAACATATCCAAGTAGGGAGATATTTTTAACAGTGCATGGAAGGTGCAATTTAAAACAATCTGTGTAAAGTGTTTGCAGGTTCCAATTTTATGTGCATCAAATATTAAAAATGTTGGCAATTTTTAAGAAGATTCTCCATTAAGGAGCGTGAAAGTAATTTTTATGGAGGTTTTATACTACTGAGCTACTCTGGAGTAGGAGAAGGAAAGCAAATTTAAGCTTTTAGTTACTCAGAACACACAGAAAACACAAAGGGGTTTCTTGTCTCCTTGTTGGTATAAAACTCATGCAATGTCAACAAAGAGGGCAAGTAAAACTAAAACGTTGCTGGAGAACATTTTGCTCAATATTGTTAAATACACTTTCCCTTTTAACCCTCCTCATCACTGACAGGCCATGTCCTTTCAAGGGAGGTGCACAGTCCTCCTGTGATAAAGAGAAGTAAAACAGGTGAGGGGTTTTATAATAAATATTTTATTGCCTATCAGTTTCTTTCAATTGATCAACACAATTGTCAAGGTCCAGGAAAGAAGAATGCATTTTGTGAATGAAGGTAATATGAACAAATACAAATTTAGCAGGATATAATTGGGCATGGATGAATGCAGTTTCTCTCAGCAGCAATTTGCATGGCCAAGATATCCCATCACTCCAGTGATACCATCAGTTCAGTGTTACTTCAGTAAATGAGCAGGGATTGCTCTGGTTGGTATTTAATTCATTAACAAAGAGGTTCCTGTGTAAAAGCAATGTCCTGCTGAGGTTGTGGATGTAACTGGTCCCATGTCCCATGCCATGGCAGGTGCCAGGAGGAGTGTCCCATCGGCACCTACGGCTTCCAGTGCACGCAGACCTGCGCCTGCCAGAACGGGGCCAAGTGCTACCACGTCAACGGCGCCTGCATCTGTGACCCTGGCTTCAAAGGCATCCACTGCCAGGAAAGAATGTGTCCTGAAGGCTTCTATGGCCTCAAGTGCAACAAGAAATGCCCCTGCAATATCACCAACACCCTCAGGTATGTATATCGTGTAATATTCTAGTGCAGGGACTGGGACAGTAAAAACATTGGGAAAAAATCCAGCTAACTACACCTACTGTCTTTTTCTCTGTAGTTTTAAGTACAAACACAGAGAGTTTCTCTGGTTTGCAAAATTTTGATTTAAATGACTTCAGATTTGGAACCATAAGCCTCAGTCCAGCCAGATATTAAGCATGTGTCTATTTACAGTTCTAGTAACACCTGAAACAGCCTGACATACAGCTTTATCCTGTAAACCCTCAAAAGAAGCACCAGATGATGCTCATATGTGTGGATAATAACCCACTGAAGTTGAAAAATAGATATATATTTACTCAAATCCATCACTTTCCCTCTTTTTTATGACATGGGTTTGCTTGTTAGATCTATAGACAGCAAGGGGACTTTCAACATGAAACCTAATTTGCTTCAGCTGATGTCTCATGGCAAATTACCTTGTTGGAAACACTTGAGGCCGATGTATAAATAGACTGAAATCAATATCCCTGAGTCAGTCTGTGGAACTCTAACATGGTTGACATTGTCAAAATAGACTCCTCACGTGAGCCCATTTTTGCTCTTCATTCTCTTTGTATATGAGGAAAATATTCAGGAAAATAAATATCAGGGAATTATGCCTACAATGGAATAAGCCTCACTAAAAAGGTCAGAGTTTGATGTTTTATTCCCTTTTTTGCTTTTTTTAAAGATCTGATCCTTGAGGTTCTCTTTACTCTGAGACAGAGCCACAAACAGACTTTGAATTTGCTTTTCCATTGTAAGCTTGAATAAGTTTTCCAAACCTTGAAAAGAAGGAAGAATTTAAGACTCTTCCCTATTATCCTCTTTGTTATCTTAAGTAGCTCCTTGCCTTGTTTACTGACTGCTGGAATTGCTGTTCAGAGAATCCTCACTCCCTGTCTTGCAATAAAGGGAGCCTGGACAGCCAAACCCCCTGGCCTGAGCTGTCTGATGTTCTGGAGCCACATTTCCTCACCTGCACAGTGCTGAGCCCCTCAGCTCCCACCCGATTCCCTCCTTTTCCTGCCCATTCCTGTTCAGCAGGCAGAGCCAATTTAGGGTTGAGTAGGCTTCAGGGGGAGGTGGAGATAATTGATGCCCAGGCAAAAATGCCCTTGATAGACATTCTTCAATTTGGAACCAGACAGGTGGGGACTTGACTGTCCTGCTGATGCTGACAGACCCACCTTGCCATCTTGCTGCTGCTAAAATATAAACACATTAAATTATGTATGCAAGAAATGGCACCTCATTTGTGTGCACACACAGACACACACACACACACAAACACTTCAGGCAAATCTGTCTGTGCACTTGAGATAGACCCTATTTGTCTCAGTCCTGGAAATAAACAGGTGATTTTCCTTGTAAATTCAGCTGTGAGTGGTGAGGCTTTGCTTAACTGAAAGTCAGAGCTCACAATGGATTATTTAAAAACTTGTAATTATAGTGATACAACTCCTGTGCAGCAAGAGAGCTCCAGCACAATTGGGTTTGACAGCCAGGATCCAAAGGGTTTGAGGCTCCCAGGGAGCTCTGTACAAGAGTCCCATCGCTTCTGATTATGTTGTGTATCATGAAATCACTGCAAAAATACCATCCCTGAGGCAAGAACTGCACGTTATACACAAAAGGTTAGTGCTGTGTTGTACTGAGGGTGGGGGATGCCTCAGGAATTACTGCAGAGGGAGCTGAGGGATAAATTCCTACATGTCACATCACTGCAGCACCTGTGGTAAATCCAAGCTGAATTGCTCCTCAGTGTGAACTGTTCTTCAGGTGTACAGGAGGGTGAGAATATGCTCATGGTCAGCAGCTGACACTTGTGTCTTCACCCCTCCTGAGCCTGCAGAAACATGTTTGTTTCTATAAAGGTAGAAATAGAGAGGAAGGACTGCAGGCCACAGGCAAGGCTGAGTTTGGCTGCAGTTTCTTAGCTACGTGCTCAATTAATTAAGACTTCTAGGTGGGGTAAGACTGTGGGTTGGAAGGTGAAAGAATTCACTCTGTGTTACTCAGAACTACCTGGGAGGTAGTCTGTGAGTTTGCCAGAGGATCTTTCCTGAAAGAACAGACTCTCTCCTTCCAGCTGTGAAGAAAATAAGAGGTCTCAGAGAGGTTTGAGAGAGCTCAGAAAGGGGGAGGATTGAATCCTCTCCCAGCTCTTTTCTGGGCATGTGGTCATTCTTACACACCCTGCCTGTGCCTGCTTGCTGTCTGATGGGAACATTTTATTCCTTCCCTCCCAACACTGCTCCGTCAGCGTCCCTTGCAGCATGCTCTGCTGAGATGGAATCTCTGGTTCCTTAATAAATGAGTCTGGTCTCTCTTTTGATAAAATCTCCCTTTTTCCTACATCTTATCACTGCTGTTTTGGAACAAAGAGATACCAGCAAGCTGTAGGTCAGTAAATGTTCTTTCATTCATCCATGGGATTTCAGCTCTCCACTTTTCTACCAGCTCTGCAGAGTGCTGTCAATTGCTGAGCCAAGGAACTTCAGAGCTGGTGGAAAATGACCTTTTCCAAAGGCACTCCAAATTCTGAACAAATCTTTGTGCTGATTGTTTAACCAGTCCCATAAAGTGCACTTCTCTTCCCACCCACCTCTTCCCATTCCTCCCTGAGTGTTTGTTCGTATTGAATCTGGGCTCTTCCAAAGTGACTCATTTACCCACAGCCATCTATTTTCCCCAGGAGCAGTTTAAGCTCTTGGGTTTTCTTTGTGATCCCCAAGTGTGGAGGGTAATTATTAAACACCTGTAGAAGGTGAAGGAAACTCCTGTCCCTGGATTTGTCTCATTTGATCTGGTTATTGGAGAGTTGACTGGAATGGAGAGTTCTGAGGGCTTTGAGGAGTAGCTGAGAAGGAACAGTAGGAAATACACAATCAGCTTTTCCATTTTCATAGATCTATCTATTTTAATGTCTGAAGAGATGAGAGTGATCATCTAGTCTAACCTCCAGTATGGTAATGACTGAAGGACACCATCCAATAATTTCTGCATCAAAGCACACTGAAAGGCACTTTGTACAGGACTCTGAACAACCCCACAATTAGGTGATTTAGAATGTGGTGGTGACTTGGACTGTCCTTCCACAGGAAAGGATACACCTGTAAAAAACTCCCCTCTGCAAAAAGTCCATGTTGAGACAGCCTACTATAGCTGGAAGGGAAAAATCCTGGCTTGTTCTTCTGTCAGGCAGGAAGGGAAATGAACAGCTGGAGTAGTCCTGGGCACCCACCCTTCCTGAGCACTGCTGTGGAGCCAGCCTGGGGAGCCATGTGCTGTTGGTAATGCCTTTCCCAGGTCACAGATGTGAGAAGGAAGGAAGCCACTGGGACAAAGGCAAATGGAATGGGCAGATCTCCAGAGGCTCCAGTTACTGCCTCAGCACTGGCAAGCTGGGGAGGACCAAACCCCACAGAGCTTCCATGGAGTTCTGCCTTGATCTGGGTCAATAATGTGCTGGACAAGGCTGGCTCTGAAGATGTGCTGGACTGAAGGAGCAGCCCTGTAGCCTCACTGTGGCCACTGCTTTAAAGCAAGAGGCATTTTAGTATGGGAGACTGGATGTAGTGTGGACACCATGAAACAGAAAATACTGTAAAATAAGGATTAGGCTGCTGATAATGAAAATGAGAGGACTGGTGCTGCTGTATAAACAAAAAATCAGAAAATTCACTGGGAAGGTGTTGCTTTGGCTGAAAGATGTGTGGAGAACAAATTCAGAATTTGGAACAGACTGTGCTGTCTAAAACACTTCCAACTTGCCTTGAGAAATTTACCTGGTTTCCTCAGATTTCCTCAAAATTAGATGCTTAAAAATTTAAAGGTCAAAAATGCCCTTATGCTTTTCACTTCAGCTAATAAAATTTTTTAAAATAAATCTTTTATTGCTTTAAATGTGGATTAAAAGCCAGGGATTGCGCAGTAGCTTTCAAAGTGCAGCAGGAGCCCTGGAACCCTTTCCTTGTCAGCCCTGATGGGTGTGTGGACAGCTCTGATCCACCTCTGCTTGGCCTGCAGCCACAGGAGCACTTGGCTGCCTATGTTCACTCCTGGTTTCTACTCTGCTTCTTCCTGCAATGCAGGAGAGTTGAAGAAATAAAAGTTGTTAAGATTCAATGCAAACTACGAAGGATAACAGTGCCAAACTCTTTGAAGTGCGTGAGGTTCCCTCGCTGCTCCCAGCAGGGGTTGGAAAACAGATGTTGGTGGGTTTGCCTTTGGGATCCTTTTGGAACCCTGCCATTCTCTCACCCATCCTTCAGCGATCCTTCTGCAGAGGAATTGTTCATTAATTTCAGTTTTTTGGGGGCTGGAGAAATGCCTCACGTGCACTGTGACCCCTGCTGGCAAAATGTTACATGGATACATGGCCTGGGAAGGTGCACTCAGAACAGGAGGGGAGCAATTACATTATAAATTATATTTATAAAAATTTCTACCTGTATTTCCTATTCAAGTTTTATTCTGCCTCAAACATTTCAACTTCAGTCCAAATAGCATTTAATTCACTGGGCAGTCTGGATACATGGATGTTTGGATGGGTGATAGATGAATTTCCTGGCTCTGTTCTATATCTAGGTTCATAATTCTACCAGAATGTGGTTGTACAAAATGCCAGCAGAAGAGAAACCTTCCTAACAAACACACACATGCAATATTCCTACATCATCAGCTGCAATATATTTAGTATGTAACTCTGCTCACTTTAATTAGGGGAATAGTTCATACAAACCAGAGAGAAAAAATAATTAATAGAAAAACTTTGTACTATTTAGTGATATCAGCTGCAGATCTTGAAAGGGTTTCCAAAGGGAGAAAGGCATCATTTTAGAAATGGGGGAAATGAAGGTAGAAGAGTCAGTTAGGTGGCCAGGATTCCCTGGCAGGATTGGGAAGAGAACAGCTGCCTTGTGCAGTTTGGGAAAGCGTCTAAATCGCAGCCCTCCTGAAGTTAACACTGCACCAGGCACCTGCATCGTCAAACAAGTGCTTTGGAGTTAGGAGAAAAACAAAACTCTGAGCTGCTCAAGCTGATAACAAAATTATCCTTCTTTCATTGGGAAGATTATGTGGATGGAGGGACTCAAACATCTGCATCGGATTTTTCTGGCTCACAGTCCTATGAAATGTGGACAAAGTTTTGATGGGTCAGAATATGCCCTCAAACTTTACTGGCCTTTATTTTGGAGTCCAAGTTCCCTGCCTCCAGTAGATTCTTCTGGAAAGCCTGTTTGGTTTTGATTCTTGTTTTAGTGCACATCAGGATGAGTTTTAGCCCTTAATACATAGCTTGTATCCCATGCAAAAAAAGCTTCCCATGCTGAGGGGGGAGCCAACCTCGGAGTAAAAATTCTGAGTGAGTGTAGTATTTTCTGCTGAATTGTCATAGTCTGATTCAAACTGCCCTGGTCATATATTACCTTTGAAATATTTAATTTACCTACCAGGTGCAGTTCTCATGGAAGTACATGATACATGTAGTAGTAGTGGAAATACAGCAACATAAAATTCATTTCAAAATCCTTTTTAATGTTGAGCGTTCTGCTCCTATTAGGTAATGATTAATAGACACGGGGGGAAACATGAGCTTTTGTTATTTTCATCTGAATGTTAAGAGGTGCTTTGTGAAAACCATAATTTCAGGGACTGCTTTGTCATGGATGGTAGTTTGTTATGCTGATGAATTGTTTTAATTAGTCAGTAAAACACTATTTATGATGAAACATTTGACACTTAGAAAATTTGATCCTTTTTAGTTGCAGCACTATATGACCAACCTCTCCTAACAGAAATTGCCTGAAACATAGTTGAAAATTACATGTTATGAGGTTACCTTGAAAATTAACATATGCAATATTAATTTTATAGGTGTAAAGAAACCCATTCATTCATGTCTACAGTCTTAAACTGTAACAATAAATAATCGTAAAGGAAAAAATAATTGTTTCTGGGATGCAAAAAACCAGGAGACAGGCCCAGAGAGAGATCCCACCTTGCAGAAGTCTATTCTTCTTGTTCTGAGAGTAAAGAAAACAGGATTCGGATGCAAAAAACCAGGAGACAGGCCCAGAGAGAGATCCCACCTTGCAGAAGTCTTCTTCTTGTTCTGAGAGTAAAGGAAACAGGATTTCTGGCAATATTATTTCTCATGTCTCTCACTGAGGACTGAACAGTACAGTGCTGAGAGCAGGGGCCACAGAGCAAGCTGAGCTCTCAGGTGAAGCCTCACACGCCCAGCTGGCCTCAGACAGCATCCCCAGGAACCTCTATCCCTTCAAACCAGGAGTTAACCCATCTCCAGCCTTCCTTCTCCTCCTCTCCCTGCCCCAGCCTCCTGCTGTGGGAAGGTGGTGCCCAGAGGAAACCTCGAGGAAGAAAAATGCCAATAAAGATAAACAGTTTCATGCAGGAGGAACAGAGGGATGCATGTTCCACCTAGGGATGCAGAGGGACTGGGCATTGTCCCCTCTTTGGGGCTCAATTCTCCTTTCTCCTTGTCTCTCCCTGTGCTCTCACAACAGTGTGGAATTGACTGAATAGAAATGAAAGCCAGAGGATTCATGTTGTTCATTATGCAGCGAAAAGGAACTTGACTCATTTCCCTGCACAGCTGTGACTTAGTCCCAGGGCTCCTGTTAACTCCTGTCCCGAGTAAATCCCAAAGCTCCAGGTGCTGATCAGTTCTGGTCACTATGGCTGAATATTCCCTGCAAAACTCTTCTTCCAAGGAGAGTTTTCCCTTCCAAAGCAATTCCGTTTCTAGCTGTTCCTGCTGGAAAGTTCTGCTGATGTGGCACTCACTTTTAAAACACAAATGACAGTGGGATGGGATGGGATGGGATGGGACAGAAATAGAATAGAATAGAATAGAATAGAATAGAATAGAATAGAATAGAATAGAATAGAAATGCTGTGCCCTTGAACTCAGGTTTGTCTTCACAGCTCTCTTGATTGCATTCCTCCACCCACTGGAACTCCTCCTATCCCTGAACTTCTTTAGCTGGCTGCATTACAGCCAAATAGTGCAGCACATACCTGTCCTGCAGCTTGTAAGGATTAATGATGTGGTTGATGCCAGTAATCCAAGTCACACTGATTTGAGAATGGACGAGCATAAACTTCAAGGTGTAAACTACCCAGTGCTGTGGCAGTTCCCAAATGTTTGGAAATGCTGGGCTATTTAGCACCAGATTCTCTATTCGTGTCCCAAATTATACAGCTGCCCATATCCACCACTCTGAAGAGTTTCCAAGCTTGTCCTGCTCATAGTGTGACACGTGAAACGTTCTGGGCTGTGTTTTTCCTTCCTGCCCACATCTCATTAACATCTGTCTCTTCATTAGTTGCCATCCTCTGTCTGGGGAGTGCAGCTGCAAGGCTGGCTGGGCTGGGCTCTACTGCAACGAGACGTGTCCCGTGGGCTACTACGGCAAGGGCTGCCAGGTGCCCTGTCCCTGCCACAACGGGGCCGACTGTGACAGCATCACTGGCAGCTGCATCTGCGCCCCAGGCTTCATGGTGAGTGGGGCTGGGCATGGGGAGGGCTTTCATAAAGTGGCTGCAAAAAATAAAAGAGGGGTTTAATCTGATTTGAAATAATATTTGCATCAGAGCAGCCAAACGTGTGTCATTTTCGGCCATTCTGTGCTAAGTCCACACTACTGTCCTCTGGGCAGTGTCAATCTGTGGCTGCTGGTTGTTTAGTTAACATATCTGTTCTAACTTTATTACTGTTATAAAGATATGCTTTCCCATAGCATATTCTAAGTCAAGACATAACAAAAAAGATGTCAGATTATTGTCTGCCTGGAAGAGCAGAGAAAGAATTCTCATGGCCATTCAGCATGTTCCTTGTCAGTCACACTGTGATTTTAATAGATGAAGATATTTTAAAATGTTACAAATGATAGAGCAATTTATGTCTTTTCTGAGCCTGTGTGGCAGGTGTCTTTTACCGAGCATCAGAAAGAGCTTCAGACATTCTGAGGTAAACAAGCATTGCATTTTATCATTGAGATGTAAAATGGCTGAAGAAACCAGCCAAGATGAAAACATCAAAACTTCAGAGTTAACAATTGCCAGGCTGCAGCAGAAAGTATTGGGAAATGGATCCAGGAGTCCAGTCCTGCTAAGGCTGGGAAGAATGGAATTCTTGCCAGAAGTTCCCTGGTTATCTGTAGATGAAGGTCCTCCTCTTCAGGAGCACACCACAAAGGAGAAATGCAGGCTGTGTTTAAGAAACAATACTTCCTGAAGGAAAAAAAATACTTTAAAGAGAGAATTCCATCAAACTTCGCAAAAAGTTGGCTTTCTCTGTCCTTCATTCTACATGATCTGTCCCCACAGGCCTATCTATATTTTCTGTACTATTATAACAATTATGAGTTATAATTACTAAGTTCACTAGAAATCAAGGGACAGGCTGCACAGTTGGGATGGATCCATAGTGGGGAGGTCCTGTATGAGATTAGTGGGATGCCAAAGACTTTTTTGCCTCTCTTCATTCTAATTCTACACCTGATCTTGTGATCTCCAACTGGCATCAGCAGAGCTGTGCAATTTCCAGGAGTTGTCTCAATGCCAGGTATTAACAGATTTATTTAGGTGTGAGGGGCTGGACTCCAAAGCATCTGTGCAAGATAATGGTACTTATAGATGGGGGCAGGGGTGGGGGGGAGGGGGAAATAAAGGTCTTTGAGGTTTGATTCCCAGCTCCACAAATAGAAAACAAGAATTTATCTTCTCTATACAGTAGTTGATACACAAGTGGAGGAAGGAAGAAGGCAGCAGCATGTTAGTAACAGCTACAGAATAAAACGATGCCAAGATCCTACTTATTAGGAATGCTGTCCAAATTTGCAGCACAAATGCATTTAGGGACTCTTTACTGTACACAATTTAAAAAAGCATACCTTGTCCAATATACATTGCCCCAAGGCAGCATTAGTGGAGGCAGAAAGCCTGGGAAATTCCTATTGCATTGCTTCAAAATAATATTTAATCTCATAATAAAGAGCTTTCTTGCATTGACATTTAAACAGCTTGGTTATTGAGGATAGCTCTATAATCACTGAAGCATATTTAGGCATTAGTATCATTGCTCTCACATAATATACTATAATCTCTGGCAATTAGTCCATGAGGGGAAGTAAAGCCTTGAAATTGCTAATTTATTGCCTCTGAAGCATATTTGTCATTGGTGTGCATGCCAGATGAGCTGCAATGGTTCTTTCAAGTGCTGCAGAACACAGTCTGTGCAGAAAAGTTGCTGGGAACCTTCCCCTCCCACCCCAGGGTGTTATCCTGCCAGGATGCTCCAGGCAGGGAGGAGGGAGCTAGAAAAGGTTGTGGGGCCAGAACCAGGCTGGAAGTGCCTTATCCCAATGACACACTCCAAGCTAGGCTTTCCCTTCAGGTATTCCTGCCTGGCTCTGGCTGAGGCAGCAGGGGAGCTCTGCCTGGGGGTTGAGCTTTGCCCTTGAATTGGGCGAGCCGGTTCCGAGCTCAGGATGTGTCCTCTGGCAGAGCTGGCAGTGCAGTGCTGCTAACGCAGGGCTGAGCACAGCTAATTATTCACAAAAGCCAGAAATTAATCCCTCTTACTTTTATTAGTGTGAGGCTTGGCTGAAGCAGCCACACGGGCAGGAATTTTGCCACATAATTGGAAAGAATAAAACCAGGAGCAACATCTTACATTTTAGAGCAATGTTTGATCTACACATGACACTACGGCAAAGCAGTCTGAGGGGCTGCTCAGGAAGGGGGAAAGGAAGGAAAAATGGAGGGAGATAGGATATAACTACTGAATTTATCTGCAAAGGGAGAGGGGTTGGACCCACAGGAGTTTAGGATTATTGGCTGACTGGAATATGCAGTGCTCAAGGAAGGACAGTGTTTTCCTGACAAAGCACTCCTCCTGCCCACTCCTCCAGCACAGATGGTGGGTTTTTAACTCGCCCTGCCTGTGTCAGGACAGCTGGGCTGGGTTTCAGGATGAATCATCTGCTCTCATAGCCAAAACAGGGACATTTTGTTGGGATGCAGAACAAGCCATTAAAAACACAAAGCATCTGGTCACCTTTATTAAATGTATTAAGTGAAAAGGCAGCCATCCCATAGGCTGCCATGTACGTGAGGAGAACACTTAATTGTTGAAAATTCAAGAAGATGCAAGTTGTAAAATAAAAATGTATATGGTAGCTTAAAGAAAATACATTATTTATTAGCTGTGACATTTCCAAAAATTAAAATGCCCAAGCTAAATAGTGGTGAGCTTGCAGTTTAGGATAGAGTTTCAAAACATCTTCTGTCTTATTTTTTCTGCAAATGTTTTGGGTCGGACTCAATAGCAGATTTGCATATGTCTGGCTCCAAACCCAAATGACAACGTTGTAAAGCTGTTATTGGGTACCAGGGTATTTGTGTGAGGTGCTGCTGGGATCCCCTGGGGGGATGGCTCTGTTTTACCTCTGCGGGTTCTGAACCACCTGGCAGACCTGGGTATGGATCTGACTGAGGCATCCACAGCCCAAACCAGGCAGTTCTTGGAGGCAGCACGCAGGGCAATGAAAACAGGATAATGGTAGAGGAGACACAATAAAATCCTCCCCAAAATCACAGACCTACTCCCCATTGCTCCACAGGCTTGTTGGGAATGCTTTGCTTCCTGCATCCCACTTGTAAAGGATTGTAAAGGCTGTATCAGTTTGACTCAGATGATTGCAGGGAATCATCATTACAAGCACACCAAGAGGGCACTTCCCTCCAACTGGGACTTTTAACATATTTGAGGGTTTCCTCTTAGAACTGAAGTGATGAATTGCCAAAATGCTTTTCTGAAGAATGGTTCTGTAAAGCTGTTCTGCTGCCATCTCGTTTGTGACCAGAAGGAACCTGGCAAACACACACGGGGAGTGCACAGATCAGCCCTAAAAAGCACCAGGGGAGAGTCTTGAATGGTAGAAATTGGATCCTCGCTCCCATGTGGAAATGGCTGCTGCTTGTAATAAATTATCTGGATAAATTATGGGGGTGGTGAGAGGGGTTATACTAACTTGTACATCCCCCTCCTTCCAAATTCTGCTCCAACATGTTCTCCTATAAGTCCACTGAACTCAGGTGTGCAGGAGGGACATAAAAGAAAGCAGGACTTGCCATGTCCTCTCTCTCTTCTTTTGTTTTTGGTTCATTGAATTTTATTCCCGTAATTCAATAAACGTGGTGGAGAAGGCCAGAGGATATGAATTAAATATGACAGGAGACCACAGGAATCCTGACCTTGTGTCTCACAAGGAAATCTTGAAACCAACCCCCTGCACATACCTATCAGCATTTTAGCTGCTGAAATCATTATAAATGCTATTTAGATACAAGTAACCTCACCTTCTCCATTGCACAGCTAATTGCAGCTTCCCTGAAAGCAGTGGCTATCTAGAGACCTCATCCCGTGCTATGCCTTTGTTTCTTTATGGATTCTTTGTTTTCTTCTTTTGAAAAATGGGTTTAACTTCAAATGCTTGCATTCTGTGTGTTGTGGCAAGGAGAGATGTAGTTAAAACATTTCTCAGCCCAAGACACTCCGAGAAAACTTTTAACACTTCTCTGTGGAATGTGTGGTCAGCTTTTACTTTGGCGGGCACTTAGGTCTATATTTCACATCCAGATGACAGAACTTATATTACTTTAAAGAGTTCATCTATTTATGCTGCTATTTTTTGAAGACCTGTCTGCTTTTATTGAACCCTGCATGCTGGCAAGCAGAGCAAGCACTTCATCACCAAAATAAAAGAATCCATTTTGACATTTCTCTATTTCTTCACTATATTGGTAGATCCCACACAAGCCAATCACATGCTGCAAAGTATGGAAACTACAGCAGTGGTGATCTCTTACTAGAAGAATTTTCAGCTTTTGGAATGGCTCTTGGATTCCCTAAAGCTTTCCAAGATTTATCCCAGTGCTGTGCATCTATAGGTATTTGCATCTTCTGTTTGCATTGTATCAAAATTGCATTTTTAAAGCACAATTAATGCCTTTCAAATATATCCTTATAGAGGTGCTTATGTGTATGGATCTCTGGCTGGGCTCAGTGGGAATCTGGGCACTTAAGTACTGAGACACAGGCATCATTTGGGTCTGTAAGTCCATAATTTTGTCTGGCATGCTTGAATTTCTCAACATAATGCTTTTTCTACCATAGGGGTACAAATTGTTCCCAGGGTTTACATCAGAGTAAAACTTTACAACCTACCTGCACACTGAGTAAAAGTCAGCCCTTGTAGCACACAATGAACAGTAGCTTGAGCACTTAGTAAAATAAGTATAAATTATAGTGCTGTAAAGCTATTCAAATGCACAGCAAATGCACACCAAATTTTGCAGTGAATAATCTCTTGGTCAGTACAAACACCCACACGCAGACTCAGACCAGTCTTAGCCTGCTCTGTGCCTACTCACTGAGTAAAATGACCAATTTACTGTTCCATAGAATGAGAAGGACCATGATTATGGTCCTTTAG